TTAGTATTTTGTTGGCATCATTTCCTCCAGGATACGACATTGGTGCAAAGCCAAATAGGATAGAAAGTATGTTTTCTGATAGCACACAGTCTGATTATTGATTGCTTGATGATTTTTAAAAATTACTTTAATAGTACAAACCAGGTTGTTTTTCTTTAAAAGAAGGCTGTTTGTACCTAGTCCAGCACTGGCCTTGGAATCAGGAGAGAACTGGGTTCAAATCCTGGCTCCAGCACCAAGCTTGGTCATTGTAATTACATCACATTCAGTTGTTCTCTCTTCCTTCTATTTACAATGTTAGTGGTTATTTTTTCCATGGTTCTGATGACTTCATAAATAGTGTACCAGTCCATGTGAACTTTTCTGGCCCTCCTTGAATTCTTCATAGTCATTGTTTCTGAAACGGCAGTAATGTTCCGTTATATTTGTATGCCACAACTTGATTGACGGGCATCGACTTTCTTTCCAGGTCTGTGCTGTCACAAAAAGTGCTCCTACTGACATTTTGGTGTAAAGGAGGCCTTGTTATTTTGTTGTTAATCTCCTTGGAGAACATACCCAACAGCGAGATGTCTGGGTCAAAGAGTTTGGACATTTTAGTCATAGTCTTAGCATAATTCCAAAGAGGGAGTCCATTACTAAACATTCCAATGCTGTAAAAGTGTGTTCATTATTCTTATGGTTAAGCATAACTAATGTGTCTATGGCTCTTTAAAGTTTGCAAAGCATCTATTTTATCTCATCTGAGCATCCTGACAGCCCTGTGAAGTACATACTTCAGGAATTCTTATCCCTGTGATACAGATGAGGAAACTGAGGTTCAGAGAGGTTATCTGACTTGTCCGTGGTTCTACAGCTAGTAAGTGTCAGAGTCAGGATTTGAAATCCAGTCTTTATGATTCCAAGATTTTTTTGACCCACCTTCCCAGCCAAAAGTGATCTCCTGTCTTATAAAATTTTCTAGAGTTGTTACAGTCTGAGAGGTTTTGACCCCTCAAAGACTTGAGTACACGAGGGGGTCGTCTGGAATGAATTCACAGACTCAGGCAAGTTGGCAAAAAGTTTATTGTTACGCTTTTTAGTAGGCAAGGATTCTTAAAGAACCTGTGACCTTAGAGGGGTACAGTTAAAGTTTATATGGGATAAAATATAATAAAACATGTGCCAAATATGCTAACTAGGTGATTCAGGGTGAGATTAGGGAGTGGTTAAGGAGTGGTCAGTTCTTAAAGGAACATGCACTTCTAGTACCTACTGTGCTGGCATTTTCCCAGAGTTCACTAGGAAAAGCCCACAAGGGGGACCACATGGAGGTCTGGTTTTAGGCCTGCTATGTAACTAAGTCAACCAGAGTTCAGGGTAACTGAGAGTTGTCCAATCTGCCACCAGTCAATGTCTTGTTTGACAAGATAGATGTAGGAAGTATCCATATGTCTTAAGTCTAGAATACAGTTAATGAGGAGCCCAGGATGTAGATAATGAGGTAGGGCGGTAGTATAGATAGTCCAGTGGGTAAGAAAATCTTTATGACCCAGTACAAAGCCAGTTCAAACAATAATTCCTTCAGGTGCTACTTGTTACTACACCAAGGAGAGAGATAAGGGGCTCGCTGGGGACCACTCATGAGTAACTGCTAGGCACAGGGTCCTTGGGCTGGGAGAAACTGTCAGGGACAGTGTTTCTGAGGCTAGGGAGAAATTGGGGTCCAAGCACAAGCACCCAAGCACCCCATCAGAGCCTCTTCCATGTACTTGACCCAATTCTGTTTTGTATTATCATGGCCATTAGAGCAAAATGGAAGCTTGGAAATTGTCCAACATTCTCCCCTCATTTCCACTGGGGAACCCTTGGGCCCAGAGAGCTTAGCAGACTTTCCCAAGCCCACACAGGTAGTAAGAGATATTTGAACCCAGTTTTTTGTCTCCAAATCCAGTGTTCTTTTCACTAGAGCTCACCATTAATTCAACAAGCCTCTGAAGTGCTGATTACATGCGCTGCGCCTGCTGCCCCTGGGAAGGATGCAAGGTTAGAGAAAGTTCTGCTTCTCTATGAGGCTACCGAGGAGGGCCAGAGCTCACTCTGCGTAGAAGGGGTTGGTGCTGGAGGCAGTAAGGCCTTCCTCTGGGGGGACCTTTAAGCAGCAGCAGAAGGATCACTTGTCAGGTATACAACAATGGGGATTCCTTTCTGGGGCTGTTGGATAAGATGGCTGCTGAGGTCCTTTCTGGTCTATCTTTCATCTCCGTGCCTTTGTACTAGCTGTCCCCCATGCTTGGAATGCTCTCACCTCCTTCCCTTAGAATCTCTGGCTTAATCAAGACTCAGCTCAGATCCCACCCTCTGCAGGAAGGCCTTCCAGCTCCTGAGGGTGCTAGTATCTTCCATCTACTCTGTGTATTATCTTGCAGGTAGCTACATATTTAGCTGGTATTTCTCCCCCTCCTCATTAGAACATAAGCCCTTTGAAGGCAGAGTACCTTTGAGTGTCCCCAGCTTCTAGGACAGTGCTTGACACATAATGGGTGCTTAATAAGTACTTACTGATTGATCTGATGAATTCCAACTATCCGATTCTGCAATATTCCACACACAAAGTAACTACCATATAGACTCATATATGTTAAGCACCTTATGAAATACAAAAAATGCTCCATGAAGTCAGGGGCACACAGGGACATTCATTTCTTCTCTTAGACCACAGGCTGCTCCAAGATGGAGCTCTATCTTAATTACATTTTCTTCTTCCCCCAGTACCATTTATTTAGTTAATCGATATGTATGAAGTGCCTACTATATGCCAGGAACTGTGCTAAACATAAGATTCCCAGAGTTGTTTAATAAGGGCCTGAGGGTGATTTAAGTGGTGGCAGGTGCCCTACGTGATTTGGGGGACCTTGCCAGCAAGCAGCAGGAGCAGAATCTGTTTTAGACGGGCTGGGTTACGAGAACTACAACAACAGTGAGAATAATGACAGGAACTAGCACTTACCTAATACTCCCAAGTCTGCAAAGCACTTTACATAGTTAACCCCATGAAGTGGGTACTATTATTGTCCCCATTTTACAGATGAAAACAACTGAGGTTGTGAGTTAAGTGATTTGCTCTGGGTTAGGTAGCTAGTAAAAGGCAGGATTTAAAGCCGGATCATTCTGACTCCAATTTCAGCACTCTATCCACTGAGGTTGTCCTCAGGATTTGATTGGTTCAAAGGATTAGAGGCAAAAAAAAAAAAGCCACATCATTGGGAAATATATTATATCCTAAAGTATAGTAGAATTCTCATTGCCTTGCCAAATGTCCTTCTGACCCAACATTTTCATTCTGGCAAATGCAGTGAACAGTGTCTGTTTTTAGTCAAGGGCATTTTCATCTTACCGTGAGTACATTTACTTTTATTAAATTTTATAGTCCATGATGTTGTGGGCCAGACCTGACTGGTGCCAATTCCAGAATACAATGAGTCAGTCAGACCGTTAACAAGTATTTGTTAAGCATCTACTTTGTGCCAGGCACTGTTCTAAGCACTGGGATACAAAAAAATAACAAAAGACTGTCCCTGCCCTCAAGGAGTTCATAGTCTAATGGGAGAGACAACATGTAAACAGCCACGTGTTCTCTTATTGAGTTGTTCAGTTTTCTTGGCAGAGGTGCTGGACTGGTTTGCCATTTCCTTCTCCAGCACATTTTACAGATGAGGAAACTGAGACAAACAGGGTGAAGTGACTTGCCCAGGGTCACACACCTAGTAAGTGTCTGAGGCTGGATTTGAACTTAGGAAGATGAATCTTCCTGACCAGACCAGGAACTCCATCCACTGCGCCACCTAGTGGCTCAAACAACCAGGTACAAACAAGATATAGAGAGGATGAATTGGACATAATTAACAGAAGGCATGCACCCTCATTAAGGGGGATCAGGAAAGGCTTTTTACAGAAGGTAGGGTTTTAGCTGGGACTTGAGGAAGGCAGGAGATGGAGATGAAGAAAGAGAGAATTCCAGGTCTACAGAATAACCAGTGAAAATACAAGATTCAAGAAGGACTCAGCATTGATTCAGGTGGGCAGAAGTCGCTTCGTTGCCTTTGCATTGGCTGTGCTGGTTCATATCTCAAAAGCATTTGTCAAGTTTTAAGGAACATGGGGCAGCGAGGTGGGGCAATGGATAGAGCACCGGCCCTGGATTCAGGAGGACCTGAGTTCAAATTTGGCCTCATACACATAACACTCACCAGGTGTGTGACTCTGGGCAATTCACTTATCCCCCTAATTGCCTCACACACACACACACACAAAAGTTTGAAGGAACAGGTCTTTGCCTCTCCAGCACTCACTTTTGTACTTAGGTCACCAGGAAGCTATGTCACTGGTTAATCCCCTGGACCAATAAATCTCAAGTATGCCTTCAATACCTTTTATGGAAAAACTAGTCTAGCTTTCATGGGGAAGATGCTGCTCCTATTACAATGGGTGTTTTTCATTGTGTGCTAATTCTGAGCCTGATTCATTGGTTTGGTTTGAGATGAACCTGGTCCAGAACAACCCCTCAGGCACTCTATGGGATACTCTAGGGGATATAGTGATGGATAAAATGTTTTCTCTGCTCTTTGGAAGCTTTCAACCTGCTGTGGGGAAGGCATGCTCAGAGGTTACCAAGATATAAGGGACATATGAAGTACCAGAAGAGAAGTACAAGTGTAATGCTAGAGGAGCTCAGAGAATGTAAAGACAGATGGAGATAGCCAGATGGAAGAAAGGAAAGAAGGAAGGGAAGAAGAGAGAGGAGGAAGGAAGGAAGGGAGGGAGGAAGAGAGAGGGGGCTAGGAAGAAAGGAAGGAGGAAAGACAAAGGAAAGAAGGAAGGAAGATCGAAGTGATCTTATGAGGCTGCTCAGAGAAGGTGGGCTTTGAGCTAGATCTTGAAGAGTGATTAGGAGTTGGCTAGGGCAGAGAGCTGGAGGAGCCCAAATTTAATTTTCTTCATCTATGCTTTCCTCCTAACAGGTGCTGTATTTGATGAAGATACTGGAAAAGTACTGGTTGTACAAGATCGAAATAAAGTAAGTGATGTCTTTGTTATAAATGAACTATATATGTTCAGATTATTCTAGGGGAACAAGAAAATAAGCCTTCTCCATTTATGTTGTCTCAGATATCACCGTCCACAAATCATAGGATGCTAATAAAGAGACATTTTAAAAAGTCAACAATTAATTAAATGCTTATTATGGGTAAAGCTGTGTCCTGAGTTCTGAAAGGAAAAATTAGGAGAGGGATAAAAAGGAAAAAAGTCCTTCCTTCAAGGAGTTTACCTTCCAATGGGGGAAATAAACAGGTCCATATGTAGCCCACACATGGTATTGATCTCCCAACTGTCCCCAGGTTCTATCCCAGGACTAGGGCTTCCTGTGTCATCCCAGCTGCATCTGCCTTGGCATGTCACGGTAGTATTCCCAAAGTGATAGCCTTATGGCTACTATTCAACTCTATCAAAGTTCTTAGAGTAACTCACCCCTGTAGCTCCTGAGCCCTAACTACTATGCTTCCCATATACACAAAATCAGTCGTGATTACACCATTGACTCTTAAATATGAAACATTTGTGAAATGTTAAGACAAAAGCAGGAATAACAATTAAGCAATAGAAGAAAAGAGGAGGAATAATAGAACTATAATAATCAATGAATAAACTTGGGTCATATTCTCCCAAGAATTCACAGTGTTCCAGAGAAGAAATGGGTACACAAACAAATCTAGTAGGGAGGAACATGAATAGGGAAATTTGTGCCCAGGGAGGACAATTCATGACTTTAGATGGCAGGACTTTATATCCTAGATCTCTCTAGAAAACAATCTGCACTAAACTTCACTGACTAGGGCTAGGCTAAACCACTCCACTGCTTTCTGCTCCCCTTGTAGTCCTCATGTCTCTCCTGCTGAGAATAGCTTCTTCTCTGCTGCTCTCAGGCTGCTGAAGCAATGACAAATTCTTTAAACACATTGCCACCCTTGTCAGGGTGCTGAGAAAGTGTTGTGCTCTTTCAAAATTTTTTGAGAGTTTCTCCTTCTCAAGTTATAGCAGCCATGTGGCCTTTCCTCAGCTAGCTCTTCAAATAGTAAAGGATTCTGCTTTGTCCAGTCAGCTCTCTGCAAAGTCATATCTCTTCTCACAGCAAAATAGATGCAAAATCTGTCTTTCCCCATTTCTCGCTCTCACCAGAGAAGACAGTGTAAGATGATAAAAATTCCTGAGAGGTTTCACCTCTTTCAGGCTATAAATGATGGTAGAAAGAATAAGTTCAGATAGCTCTGGAGAAATAGCAGTGTGATTCAGCTCTCTTCCAATGAGCCAGTAAGCTCTCAGGAAAGCAATGCCACTAATTTACATGAAATAATTGTGTGGGTTTGAAAAGGAATAACTTAGATAATTGGGTTGTTTGCTGCTACAATTCAGCTGTCAATTGTTGTAATGACATAGTTATGTATATTACATTTAAAAGGGAAGACAGTTACTGATACTGACTTTTAGACAAGAGATCCAAGTTTTCCTTCTCAAGAATAGGGATAAGTAGACAGAATAATTATTTTTATTTTTATGGTTTGTTTTTATAAGTGTTGCCGGTTCTGGGATGGCATCCCACATGTAGCCTACATGGGTCTGACTGGGGCTGTGCATGATCTGTAATAGTTGACTCCAGGACTGAAGAAGACTGACTTTAACTCTCATGTAGTGGAGAAGACATCCTGAAGAGAATTAGTGAGTGACTTTGACTGTTATCATTAGGGACCTCAGTGGTGGGACTGTGGTACAAATGACAACCCCAACAACCCTCCTCCCAGTCTTCCTGTAACTGGTTCATTTTCTCATGCGTATCCTGAGTTCTAAGACAATCAAGAAGAATATTTAATACTTAATGCATAGAAATGCATAGAAATACATGATGCATAGAAATGCATAATCTTTTTTTTATTAATTAGCTCCTATCCCCTCTCCAGTTTGTAAATAAGCCAAAGAAACTTTGTTTTCCTAAAGCTTTCACTCCTTTTTCTTTCTCAAACCCTTTGGTGTCACAAGCTTATATAATATCAATGTTGTTTGAATATATTTTGGTTCTATTTTGTACACATTTGGAAAATAATCTGCAGAATCTAGCTGTGTTTGCAAGGACTTCATAGTTTCCAAGAATTAAAAAAAAAAAAAGAATTCCACATTGATCAATTTAATTCCTTTTCTTTATCCCTCTTTCACCACCACCACCTCCCCGCCTTCTCTCTCACCTTTTTTCCAAGCTGTTTTACTGTTTGCAGGAAATACAATATTAACTTGTTTTTCTCTTAAGTATTTGAGTTTAAAACTCCTGTCTCTAAAAATACGCTTGGGGTCACTAATAAAGAAAAATTTTTCTATCTTAAAAAAAAAACAACAACAACAAAATAGTGTGACAAAAAATACAAAGACATTTAAATATTTCAACATTGTCTGAGTAGTGAGAAAGATAATAGCCCAAGGCATCTCTAACCATCAACTATAAACAGATACCAACTTTTATACAAACACTTGAACCATGGTCTTCTTACTCAGCTCTCCGGGGATGGTAGTCAAAGTTACTCAGATATTCTCTTCAGGATAGCTTCATCATATAAGACAGTTAAACTCAGTTCTCTTCAGAAAGAGGGGCTGCCTGGCTCCTATCACTGTCTATCACTTGAGAAGGAGAAACTCCTCGGAGCCTTCAAGAAGATCTGAGGAACTTGGCAGTTCTCCAATGTAAGAGAACTTTATGGTTAGATTATCACTGAAAGAGCATAACATTTTCTCAGGACCCTGACAAGGATGGCTATGTGCTAAAAGAATTAATTCAGCAACCTGAGAATTAGAGAGAAGCAGTTAATCTCAGCAGGTGAAATTTGAGAACCATGAGTTATCTGTAGGATAATGTAGACATTTAAACTCTTAGCAAAGGTCCCTCGGGCCTTTCTGTCTGTGTCTCACATAGTGTCTCCGAGCCATGACACAATTTACTCCAGGTGACCTATAACCTGTCTCTCCCCAAGATTCTATTTCCTCATAAAAGATACAGTAATAGTGTCCATTGTCTCTATAGGAGAGGCTCTCAAAGCTGGTGTTATATAAAAATACAATTAATGGCCAAATACAGGTTCTAAGATAAGAATTTTTTGAATGGATATATAGGCTTCACTGAAAAAATAGCTAAACAGCATTTACCAATTAGATTGCCTATTTACCGGGGAAATTTTTAGCGTGTGTTTTGATTTTATTTTGACTGAAGTTCTCCTGTGGCGCTCCGCAGGATGCACATTGCTCTGGTTTCTTATAGGCTGTGCCAACACCACAGAAGTTGCGGCCAGTCTCACGAGGCTGGGCAGGCTTCAGGGACAAGCCTGGTGGTAGGTGATGTGTCTTTATTTGAGGATCAGCCTAGCCAAATACAAACAAAGCTAAGCACCAAAAGGCTGGCCACAAGAAGATGGTTGTTTTAGGCTCAGCCACCATCTATTGAACTCTGCCTTGGTTGAAGGAGGGCTCAGATGGAAGAAACCACAGGTTTTTGAATTTCCAAAATACTGTCAATGGACAGTTTTTTCATTGTTGGGACATTTCCCAACATCATCCCTTGTTTTTCAAAGCCTTCCCGACTTCCCAATAATAAATACAACATCATCACCACCACCTATTATGGTGGAAAGGCAGGATTATTTTCAAGCCACAGAGGAGAGATTTAGGACATATTCCAATATAGTTTAGTAAAACTCCAGGGCCATGAGCCTATTTATCTGGCATCTTGGCAGTTCCACTGACAAAAACAAGGATGTTGGAAGGGGGAAGATGATTTGGTTTGGGATGTGCTAAGTTTGACAACAGAGTGAGACATCCATATAGAAAAATCTAAACATTTGCTCCCATGTGTATGGTCATTGTATGGTCTTGGAGATGTTTCATCTGTATCAAGGTTCACATATTTGTAATATTTTGTAATTTGTAATAATTTGTAACATTAAGAATGAAGACTAGGCCTGGATTTCTTTGATATAGGAAACTCCCAAAGGAGGAAGCTCTTTCTATCAAGGCAGGTCTGTACCTTCTCTACCACTTACAATCTCAGAGACCTGCCTAAGGCACGGAGCCCTCCCTAATCCTCATGCTTTCCCTCTGAGACTGCTCCTAGTTTATCGTCTGTGTGTCTTGTGTGCACACAAGTCCCAACTAAAATCTCATCTCCTACAGGAAGCCTTTCCCAACCCTTCTTAATTCCGGTGATTCTCCTCTCTTAATTATTTCCCATGTATCCTGTAGGTAGCTCATTTGTACGTATTTGTTGGCTTATTGTCTCCCCCACTAGACTGTGAGCTCCTTGAGGGCAGGGACTGTCTTTTGCCTCTTTTTGCATCCCTGGTGCTTGGCATAGTATCTGGCATGTAGTAGGTGCTTAATAAATTTGTGCCCAATCTGTGGTAGAAGAGCCTTCTAAGCTCATGTTGATCTGATCAGCCACAGTCAGAAACACTACCTTGACCCCAACCTGGTGATGTCATTTTGGGCTTTTTTGAAAACAAAGGCCAACAACCGGTAGACAATAAATGCTGATTAATAATGGATAATTGACAATTGATAATTGACTGACTGATTTTCCCAAGGTTAGGCAGCCAGTAAGATTCAGAAGCAAGGACAGAGCTCAAGTCCTCCCAGATTCCAGACTAGCCACTACATTCCCCAGACTTTGTTATGCTCCTACATTAACATTTTTTGGATTCAGTTAGTCAGAAAAGATCTATTGAGCAACTATTATATACAAAGCACTGTGCTTGGCATTGGGGTTAATACAAAATTTCAGGAAGATGCAGTTCCATACTGTAGGTCAAAACACAAGAGAAAGGACTTGGAGCTAGCTGAAGCACAAAGAACACCTACTTGCTAAGTGAAATACTGGGCTAATTTGCATGTCCCTGGAGAGCTAAGGTAACCAAAAAAAAATTTGCTCATCCCAAACTAAATATCAGACTGGCCTGAGGCAGCAATTGCTGGAGAATGCAAAGTAGC